ATATATATATATATATATATATATATATATAGGGATGCGCTCCGGTGAGAAAGGTGCTCAATAAAATAAATAAGAACAAATTTTAGCCATTAGATCAAATGATATAACAACTAAAATAAAATCAAAATTATATTTTAACTAAGGACAATATAGTAATTTTCAGTCCACACAATAAGTCTGTGCCCGCCACCACCATCGACCTCAAATCAGTCACCCTCCTTCTCTCTCCTTCTATCCCACACACATCTTCTACACACACATCAACACACACGTACTATACACACTACACACACATCGGACTGAAACAGGCCGTCCGTCAGCCAGCCATTAGCCGCCGCCGCAGTGTTCTAGCACCGACAATTGATGCCTCCCTGACTGTAATCTACCCACAACCACCGCCGGATTCGACGGCAGCCACCACCGGCCCCGGTGAACGTTTTACTCGGATTTTTTCCGGTAGCTGAACACGGAAGCCCTGCTGGAAACCTCACGCGGCGTTGCCTCTGCTATCCACCGCCCTATAACGCCCGCCGCCGCTGCCATGTTCGTCCGCCGCTGCTCGAAATTAGTTTTCCGGAAGACGAAATAGACATAATCAAATCTCAAAATTGTACCTGCTACTTCCATTTGATTTAATGTGGATGAATTGGAATGAAATTTGATGATTTGTTTTGATTTATGTGGAGGAATTGGACATAAAATTTTGCTTTGTTTTATTGACGGGATTATTTGGGATGAAGGACTAATTGGGAGAATTTGATAAATCACAAGACCATAAATGCAATTATGGAACACTTAAACATATTGCCATTTTGACCTCTGGTAAAAGTGCAATTTAAGAAATCTGCAAATTAAATAAAAGAATCCGATAAATGCATAATAAATCAAACCGAGACTTAAAATATAAACAATTAAAGTTTCTTTAATTAAAATGATAAATAAAAAATAATCGTTCCACATACTGCACAATAATGATACACTATATGCACATTAGTATTTGTGAAATGCACGTTATCGTAACATTGTGCCAACGAACTCGAGAAATTGTAAAAAATACATTGTTTGACTATTTTGTATTTTTTTAAGGGAATCAATGTGAGATTTTTTTCGTCAATAGCATATCTTGGTCCTCATAGCTTCAGACTATGCCAAGAATAGGCTCTTGAAATGGCTTTTATTTCGGTTTGGTTAGGCCGCCACTGTTGATGATCCTTTCATTCTACTCTTTTGTAGCCGATTATGTAAATATTGTACATTCTCCGTTGGTGCTATAGAATCTATCGTTGTGAAAAAAATGTGAGATTTTTCTTTTTTGTCATTCTTCAGTCCAACAAATCGTCCATCACCAACTACGCCATCATCAACGTCCGTCGAGGTCGAGGAAACAACACGCTACCATTGGAAAAACCAAATCTTGGGTTTGGTATTTTGTTTAAAAATTAGATAAATTATAGGGATTTGATTATAATTACTTCACAATGTATAATATATTTGAATTTTGTACATGTGAATAATATGTATTTTTAAAAAAGAAATAATGAATGGTTATGAATGATAAATAAGATGTACAATATATTGCATGTAAACACATTAAATATAAATTAGTGCGAGTGCACGACAATATTAAAAGAAATGCATATAAATGACTTATAAATTACACATTAATGCGTTGGAGAATGCACATTAACATAACAGCGTATTCCCCACAATGACCCTCACGTGAAAGAAAAATATGTTGTTAAGATAGTGAGCATTTTTTTCAATATTGAAGATTTCTATTATTTTTGTTCGGTCTCGACATTAAGTTTAAAAAAATAATAATAACATAACCGATATAACTATATAAGAAATACTATTTATATGTTTTATCTATATATTATATTATTTACTTAAAATAAATAATGATATTAAATATTAAATAATTAATTATAAATATTAAATATATTTTTATTATATAAATAATTTGATAAATATAAAATAATGTTGTTTAGATTCCATTATTAATGTTTTCTAAAATTAAAATGAATATAAAAAAAACTCGCTCAATAGACTGCACAATAAAGTTAGATGAACTGCACACTTGTGTTTGTGGGGATGCACATTACCGATTTTTGTATTTTATGTATTATGTATTTTCATCAATAAATGATATTAAAATATTAAATACTTTTTTATAATATAATAATAAAATATTTTAGTTATTTAAGATAATCGGTTAATCGATCAAATAAACCGATTTATTTCGGTTCAATTTTAGTTTAATTTGTGATAGATCATTAAAAATACTTGCACTGTGAGTGACAAATTTGTTGTATGATTTGCATATGAATGACTGGCATAATGCACCGTAGCGACCGAAAACAATCGGTTGTTTGACCAAAACAATTTTTTTTTATAATGTCGACGTCAACCAAATACACGTTTACTATGTTGTTAGTCGGTAATATATTTTTTGTCGTTTAGTTTTTTTTCTCAAACATTGAAATCGATTATTTCGCTTTTGATATTTCGATCGGTCGCTTCGACTGGACCAATTGATAAACAACATTCTACATTTTATATTTTTTAACTTTTAATGTGCATATGCACATAATATAATGTACATCGTAATGAATAATATTGTGCATTTATTAAATTTTTGTTAAACTATAAATTTTACCCATTAACTATACTTGTAATACATTGAAATTGTTGAAGTAGCAATTAGGTCCCTACAACTTTTATTGTATCACCAATTTGCCTCATACTAAATCGAAAATACTTTAAAATTAATAAATTGCAATTAGACCTCTCAAATATATCAAATTTTCTAACAAAACCCTCCAAAATCCCAAATCAAATTTGCACGGCTGCTGAACAAAAAATCAGCCTTACAAATCATTAAAAGAAATCAACCTTACAATTTAAATAAAAGAAATCTGCACGTCCTCGCCGATTTGTTCCGGCCAGACGCCGACCAATGATCGAGAGCATCGTTCGCTGCGTCAGGGACGAACCTTAGAAGAGCTCTATACCATATTCAGAAACCAAATAATGACGAGAGTCGTGGCTGACGGCGAGCGCGATGGTGGATGACAGCGAGAATCGTGGCGGCGACGAGCGGCACAATGATGGAGTCAGGTGGTGGTGACGAAGAAAAGCAACACACTGGATGGCGGAGCTGGTAGGTTTGTGTGATTGTGTGGCGACGAGCGACGAGTGACGTGCTGGGTGGCAGTGGCGAGCGACGTGCTCGGTGGCGGTGGCGGTGGCGGTCCGGCGGAGGTGTGTGTGTCTGGCGATTCTGTTGGGCTGTGTGTGTGTGTGCGCGGCTGACTTGTGAGAGAGAGAGATGGGTAGAGGAAGATAAGTGGCGGGGCCCACTTTAGTAGTGGGTTAATTATTGGGTAACTATATAAATACAAATATACCCTTAATTGGTGGTCATACTACATTTGACCATAATATTACTACTTATTTACTATATTGCCATTAATGATTGACTATTTTTATTAAAATTTGACTTAACCATGGACATTG